GTCTGAGCCCCCAAGGTCTGGAACAGCCTGCCATCGGCAGTGGTTCAAGCACCTACGTTGAACACCTTCAAGAGTAATCTGGATGTTTACCTTGCTGGGATCCTATGACCCCAGCTGAATTCCTGCCTTTCAGGCAGGGGGCTGGACTTGATCTTCCAAGGTCCCTTCCAGCCCTAATTTGTATGAAATCTATGAATGCTGTTTTCAGCTGGGGGATCTGACTTAAATGGATTGTTGAGGTCCCTTTCAGCCTTTTTTATTTTTTAATTTGATTTGTAGCAGAAGGTGGAGTGTCCTACAATACCTCTCTGTGCATGAGTCCAGCAAATAGTCCTTGATTTAGTTTCCCCATCTGCAAAATGAGAACAATAATGCTAAACTCCAGGAGTATGTTATGTGAGGCTTAATGGGTTAAACTTAATAAAGTGTTTTGAGAGGAATGAGAGATGGCTAACCATGTGTTTTGTATTGTGACATTGACTATTCCAAATCCTTTATGTATCTTTGAGAGAAGATATTAAAACTAGGATAGGGAAATAAATAAACTTTAAAATCTACACAGGTATTTTCTCTTGGGTCTGAAATGCTGTATTGTTAACATCACATAACTGTCCACTTTTGCAAACTACTTGATTGCCATGGAAAATATGTGTCTCATGGGTTTTTCTACCTGTTAATTAGCAGCAAAGGTCAGTCAGGTGTTTGGTCTGTGCTTTTGATGACACTCAGTGAACTATATTTGGACTCAGTACAAATAATGAAAAAAGAGTGTCTAGCGTTCCAAAGGGGAAATTTCATTGAAACGTGTATAGAAAAATAGAGAAATCTATAAACCATACAGCAAATGGTGAACTCCTACTCCTATTTATTTCCTCTCATTTCTAAATTCTTCTCATAATATTTTCTAGGGTTTGTTTCTTTTTCATTCCCAGGGACATCTTGGTAGAATGGATTTTTTCTCACTATTCCAGTGTGTGTGTTCAGGTTGTTATTCTTTTCCCTTCGACTGACATTTTAGATGGTTAAACAATACAGCATGAAGGGCAGGGGTGTGATTATCATAAGATAATCACACCCATGGGTGTAAAGAATAACAACATGTTTCACATAGAAGTTTCTGTATTAGCTCTGTAGAAAAAGAAACCAAAGGACAAAGCTTTGTGTTCCTCTCCCTTTCCTGACTGCCAAGAATACGATGTTCTTCCTTTACCTCAAAAATGTTGCTCAAACATTTTGTAGCGTGGGGGGGGGGAAGGAATCACAAGGAAAATTAGTGCTGATATTTGTTGACTGTGTTCAGTAGCAAAGAGGAGCAGTAGAAACAGTTAACTTTAATATAAACAAACAAAATATATGTAAATATTTCTTCTGTTTTTGTACAAAAAGCAAGCTAATTTATCTAATTGCAGATTTGTTCTTCTAGTAAAAAAGGGCAGTTTTGATTCCAGTGCTGCAATGACTGCTTGTTGATTTTTGTATAATGTTTTGGAAGCACTGAACATCTAACCTCTTTAGAGAGGATCCATTGCTACAGAAATATGTTGGTAAATAAACAAACAAACTCCTTGCTCTTATTTTATTTTTAAAATTTATTTTCCCTCTACCAGAGCCTTGGATAAAAACAGTGGTATCTAAGATGTGAAATACCACTTTTTTATCCAAAGCTGATTTTTCCTTCTTTAAAAGTAGAAGGGTTGAATGCACACTTGATAAATTTGCACCAATACAAATTGGGGAATGATTGGCTATGCTGCAGTGCTGCAGAAAAGGACCTGGGGAGTTATGAAACAACAGTGTGCTCTTGTTAGAGAAATAGCATACCGTGCTCTATTAATGGGAATGTCACTTGCAAGTCAGGGAAAGTGATTCAGTACTGCTGAGGCCTCCCTTGGAAGACTGTATCTAGTTTTGTGCACTTGAAGAAAGGTGTAGACAAATTACAAAAGGTCAAGGGAAGAGCAATAGAACTGATTAGATGTGTAGGAAACACGAATTATGAAAAAAGCTTAGAAGAACAGGGATTATTTAGTGTGGAGAAGTGAACACTGGTGAGGGCAGGGGATTTAACTGCAGTTTGTCAAATCCCTGGAGGGTGATTACAAAAAGGATGGAGTTAGACTATAATGTGGTCGTGAGACGAGGACAAAAAGTAACAGTCTCAAATTGCCACAAGGAAAATTTGAGTTGGATATTAAGAACTTCCCAAATATGAGAATCGTTAAGCAATGAAAATGATTGCCAAAGAGGCTGTGGAAATTCCATCCTTGGAAGTTTTTAAAAGCAGATTAGACAGACACTTGGATGGGAAGGTTTAGACAACAACGTTGCTGCTGGGTGGTATCCTGAAGTCCCTTTCATCCCTATGAATCTGTGATTTCTGGGTTACAAACAAATATTTTTTCATAATCCAAGCAATGCTGATGTGTCAGACCATCAATATTTTAATTTCCAAAAATGTTGTGTATGTGCAGTTAATGTTTCTGTAAAGTTCCAGCAATAAAACCTAGATAATAGCAAGAAGTGTTTTGGCCCCAAGCTTTTGCAAGTATGCTTTACTTCTGACCTGGAGTAGCTATTCTTTCCTGGGATTTCTTTTGAAACTGTCTATAGCTAATGAAGTTTTCCATATTCTTAGATTTCTGTGGAGAAGAAATTACACAAAGGCCAAAAATTCATTTTGTGTAAACTAACAAACATTATCCCTCATACAGTAATCTGTAGGTGAAAGGCCCAATCTTATACCACCAGTACCTTGTATTATCCAGTTCTCACAGCATACCTATTGTATGCACTTTAAAAGAGCCTCACTAATTCTTAAAATGCTTTAAAAAATGAACTGAAACACTCCACAAAAGTTTCAAAAGAAATTTTGGTTATCATAAAACTCTTTGAAGAACCAATTAGCACAGCAGTGCATACATCACCTGTTGAAGTGTAAAAAAAAAACAAAAGAAACAAACAAAAAAACCTGAAATGACTCTCTTCAGTGAAGTGTAAATGGTTTTCTTTTTTTCCTTCTGCTAGGTAAAAAATGGTTGGTTGTGGCAGTGTATTGTGAAGACCTCAAGAAACACCAACAGTTTCTCCACTCAGTTTTCATGATGTAAATGAAGTCTGGCTTTTCCCCAATGGGCAGCTAAACCATGGACAGGCTAAAAAAAAAGTTTTGGACTGTCTTTCTAAACCAGGCTTCACCTTCCCTCTTGAAAACCTGTTAAAGGATTACAGTTGAAACGGACAAGAGAAAAGGAAACCTTGAACTGGAAAGTTAACCTACAATGAGAATTACGAGCACATCTTGTATCTGCCCAGTCCTAGTTTGTCTCTGTTTTGTGCAGAGATGTTATGGAGCTGCTCACCATGGCTCCATCAAGGTGACTAGAAATCAAACCAAACACATAGAAGGTGAAACAGAAGTACACCATCGTCCCAAACGTGGATGGGTGTGGAACCAGTTCTTTGTTTTAGAAGAGCACATGGGACCAGATCCTCAATATGTGGGAAAGGTAAGACCTTATTTCTTTCTTATATAAGGTACAGCAACACTTGCAGAGGAAAATATTGTCAATTCAGGTTCTTCCCTTGCTGATGCCTTCAAATTTAAAGGAGATTCCCCACAGTGAATGATTCTACAGACGCTTCCAGTGTATTTGCCTGTTGCCCATATTTAGTTACAGTAATGAAGATAAAAATGATATTGTCATAAAAAAGCAATGTTGTTTAATACTTTTTAGAGTTCTATATTAAAAAGGCAAATGAAGGTTGCTGAACTGAGCGGTGGACTTATGTACCTGCATCACATTCTGTATTACCCCATGTGTATAATGGATAATATACTAAGGTTAGCTACACATTTGATTAATTCAGGACAACTTTAAACTCTCTTCTGAGGCATATTTTGGAAACAAATTGGGTTTAAGGTCTTGACCAACTTGAAAGCAAAATAGAGATGATCTATTTCAGAGGGAAACCCCTATGTGGTGCACTCTGTGTAAGAGGGTAGATAGCATGTTCACCTCCAAACGTTGAGGTGTGTGCGCTTAGGGTTATGGAAATGCCTTATCTACATGCTGCTAAGGCACAACTGAAGTGTTGCAGGAGCCCAGGAACACTGCAAGGACTGTTTTTTTTTGCCTAGCTTTTGGGTAGTCAATCTGGAAGGGCTGGGGTAGAGAGGGGGATACCATCCCACAATATTTAAGTATAAGAAAAAGGGCCAGCAACAAGTTGGTTAACATTCTGCAGTAGTGTCTGTATGATATAATCCATGTTGAAAATATGTTAAAAGAATATGATATTTGCATAGTGGTTTATGAGCTTCAAAGTTAAAAGCTTGTTATACTCAGTCCATTCATGTGTTATGATACCACTTTTTATTACATACACTAAATCAATATTATCTTGCTTCATTTATCAAGAAAGATGACAAAGTTTACCATGGAAGCAAAGGCAGGTCAGCTAATAGGAAAGAGGGCAAGGAAACAGAAATTATCATAAATTATCATCAACATGATGCATCCATGCTTAAGCCAAATGCATTCATAACTCATAAGACGTAATGGGTGAGGTGGTTCTACTAGAGAGTATTAATGCAATTATGCAATTAGGCACTGCTTAAGCTTCTTTATGGCTCTAATCAAGAAAGATTGAATTAAAATTGGAATAACTATAGGAAAAGTCCAGTAGGAGTGGGTAAGTGAAGAGCCTATATTTAGAGGCCAAAGAGCTTGGAAAAGATTCCTAACAAACAGATTTACAGTAAAAGAAATAGATGCAAGAAAGCTAGCTGATTTCAATATAAAGCTGGCGAATGGACCCAAAAAGTCATGTCATCCATGTGTATGTGATAATTTACCATGTTCTAGGTACTATGTGCTGCCCTAGGGAGACTGCTTCCTAAACTGGAGTAGGGTAGCTGCAGCCCTGGGGTGGATTAATTAACATGAGGGAAAAATCTTTGGCAGTCACTGAGCCTGCTTGAAGTGCCTTGGATAAATTATTTTCAGTATAGGAAGAAGCCTACCTGCAGCAGTGCTGTGTGGTTGAAGATATTATGCTGGACCTTGGTAAGCATGTGTAGCAGTGATTCCCAAAGGGTCTGTTACAGCACTCTAGTGCGCTGCAAGCCCAACAGAAATGTCCTGTGAAAAATTGACAGTAACTAACGTTCTGTTTTTGCCGTGGTCTCTGCACAGAATGAAGATTTCTCAGTGAACAAGATTTGTTAGCATTTTTTTAATGGTTTCCTCTGAATGGGTGACCCTATCTCTCTTTGTTCCCCTGTGCACCGCCCCCCAAGCATTTTTTCTCTTAAAAGATTAAAGGGTATCATGCTAACAATTTGTGCGTCTGACTTGCCTCATCAACATTAGTAAATTTATAGTAAATTTATACTTGCAGTACCTCTATGGGGTTTAGAAGCATTGGCAGTGCCTTTTATATTTAGTGGTAACTTTGATTATTTGTTTTAATATGGAGATTTGTTGACCAACATTCCAACGTGAATTCATTAAGGAAGTGTGTTTTTTGAAGACAAAAAAATAGTAGTAGTCAACCTAAGTGCAGTATAGAGGCTATGTTGTGTTAGTGTTTCTTTTAGGTGCACTGCTGTTGCATTTTATTGTATTTACTTTATCAACATTTCATTTCATATACCTTTTAATTCATAAGAGTTTTTGATAGCAAGACCCTTGATCTATGGAAGAGGTTAAGTGGGCATCGCACCATAATTTTAGGCTTCTGTTCAGTGTCACTGCCCTGTCAATGCTGTCAATTATTATTTCAGTAGTCTGTTCTGCCTCATTGATGTTAGTGTGTTAGCATTTGATATCTGCCCTTTCACATTTTTCACACCCAATTTGGGAATAGCATCACAAAAGCAGAGTCATTATGTAAAATGCTGTTATAATGATTGCAGTCATTGTCATGGAAATGTGTGCAAAGGACAAGAATAGGTCTGCAATCAAAATGGTACGGTTTTTCATCCTTATCATGATATGACTATCAAGGCGATGGATTAATTTACTGTCATTGTCTGTTTGTTCTACAGTATGTGTTAGGGCAACAAGTCGTTGCCAGATTTTAATATACAATATATACCAACCCTTAACATATGTGATTTTTGAATTGTCTTAGAAAAATATTGCTTGCAGACTAGAAAACTGTATGAAATTAATAGTTATTAGTAATGCTTTTAAGATTTTCACAAGTGCAGACAAAATATAGCCCTTTGCTGAGTGAGATTGTGATAAGAATGAGAAATGATCCTTTTGCACATGATCAATTCTCTGTCTGGTTTTAAGATTGTTATTGGATTTCTTCACAGGGATTTATTTTTTTCCAAAACGATAGTTGATTTGGGGAAGATTTCCCTCCAAATATCCCAAGGGAACAAACCTATCTAACAGCTGCCTGACACAATGTTCAGTGTACATATGCAGTAAAGGGATGTCATCATGTGGGCCTTTTTGCTTCACAGAGTGTGTTCCAGCCTACATCAGATCTGCATTCAGTGAGATGGGGGTTTATGAGCAGATCTTACCCTTAAGAGTAATTGCAATGAGACAAAGCACTGCATGCTCCAGGAAAGGTATAATTTTGAGCACTGAGGGAAGCAGGTTTTCTGAATATATATATACACCCAGGAAGAACCCATATACACTCCATGTACACCCCAGTCCCTCCATGTAGTTCACCCCTTTCAGAAACAGCAGATTTGTTAGAGGAAATGCACAAAAAGTTTTATTGTTCTCTCATCTCCCATGATGTATATCAGTTACATTTCCTAGGCATTAAAAAAGCCAAACAACAAATATAAAAAGTGTGTGTGTGTGTGTGTGTGTGTGTGACAAATATAAAAAGTGTGTGTGTGGGGGGGGGGGGCATTTAAAATGTTCTTCCATTTTAAATGCCTGGAACAGACGGGTACCTGACTCCTTATGTTTAAAGGACCAGCACACAGGAAATAGAATCATAGCTACACATCTTAAGTTGGAGAAGCAACTAAATGCACATGCATGGAAGGGGCAGCAAAAATATCTTGAATCTAGACTGAATAGCATTGAGTGAATATCCCTAGAGTGTATGCCATAAAACAGATAGCATAAAGATACAAGCTTGGGATTTATGAGACTTGAGCCTGTTTTCTTTGTGGATCCTTTGGTTCTGTGACTTCTTAAGGGTGTTTCCCCCTTGTGCAACTACACAGCCCTTCCTACAAGGCATGAGTGAATCTGGTTATTACTGCATTTCACTTGCTTAGGGTTATTTTCAAGAGTACTTCTCCCGTAGCAGGAGGAGATTATTGTAGGGGGTTTTATTCTTATTTTTATTTTACCTGTCATCGTATAATTCTTGTGAGATGTTATTTATAATGAGATGGTATGACAAATGAAAGAAATGTAGTAATATGACTGAGATTAAAGCGTGTACAAGTGTTATAGAGAAGTTGGTCAAGCTTTTTTAAGCAAATCATGCAGTGCTATGTTAAAATATTCAGCTGAGAATTATATGGGAAAAGAGGTCTCAGTTGTCATCTTGGATTTTTAAAGTGACAATTTTGTTACTATTTTATTATAATTATTACTTTACTTTCCTTGAAAATTGAAGATATGGTGTATCAAGCACACTTCCTGGTAAAGAGAATGCAACTATATGACACGTAAGAGAATAGGTCTGATATGTCACAATGATGGCTATAGTATTTTCCTGATTATATAAGGGAAATTACAGCTTCTCTGTCATAATGTTAGTAAGGAGAGAAATTGAACTTACTTCTGCATAGACAACACTAGCATGAGCCCTGGCCCTAGCCCTTCAGCTTCACTTTCAGTTCTTTAGCCATGGGTTCCCCTGCACATTGAACATTATTATATGCTAAAAAACCCCAAAAGTTTGAACATTATCATATGATAGACTAGTAAACTTTTAAAATTTATTTTAATCATTTGAAACACTGCTTTTCTTTCTTCATAAAGAAAATGAAATGGGAAATGTATGTTCTGCAATCTTATTGAAGATTTTGCACATGGTTAGCTATTCTCGTGTCATTGTAAAGATGAGCACAAGTGGCATAATAACATCTAGAACAATATGTGCTTCATTTTATGCCTGTTTAAATTGTTTGTTTCACAACTAATAAATTCAGATAAAAATGATTTTTCCAGACTTTATAGCAATGTTATGGTAATAAAAATAAAATAAAAGCATGAATATTCAAGCACAACTTCTTTGGTTCCTACCCTGACTTCGGGCATTTCCCAAAGATTATGACTTAATATTATTATTGTTGTCATTTTTGTGGCTATTGTTATTGTTATTTTATCATTATTCAAATAATAAACAATATGTGTCTACATACATATATGCATTTACTGCTTTAGAAAATATTGAAAAAGGATTGCAAAACTGATGCATTAAAAAACAAATACATTAAAATACTATTTTTGCTTTTAGTTTTTTGTCTTTCACACTAGAAATTCTTGCTTGTTGACCTTGGTTGTTCACA